AAGAGAGATATAGAAATATAGTGTAACACCCATCGAATACAATCTATCTTCATTACTGAAAGGCCTAGAGGTGTGGCACTTCCAGTTAGAGAGAGAGAGAGAGTGAGAGAGAGAGAAATATAGTGTAACACCCATCAAATACAATCTAGGTCTATTTTGGATTAATATATGGTATATCATTAATTCACTAACTCATCACTTGTCGTTAAAGCGGAAGAAAACTGAAGGAACGAAATAAAAGCCCTGGAGATAGAGCAAGCACATGCTCGACATGTGTATTTGAAACTATGACAGTTGCATCAGTGACAGACATTATGATCCAGAGCATAAGAACCAATTCCAGTGAACACACATACATGTATATACAAATTAAAATAACCCTTTAAAAAAGAAACCAAATATTTATAGGTTTTCATATAAAACTTCTAAGGTACAGGTATCCTCTTTTGTCTGCGATATCACCTCGGTGGACGCAGACGTTAGATAAAACTATTACTACTTTTAAAGAGGAAATCCCAGGTATATTTTAATGAATATAACTGGTTATTTGGAGACAAAAGACAAACTTTAAGTTTCCTTGTGGATTTAGCCAGAAGTCTCCAATTCCGCTCTGTGTAGGTCACTGGATAACCATGTCTATACTAGCCGCAATTATGATGTTAAGTGTCAACATGATTATAAAGTCACTACTACAATTGAAGAATGGATCTCTTTAAAACAGTGAATCTAGCGATCATACCTGAACAGCTTAATATTTTGAATTTAAATTTTCGGACAAGTTAAATAAACAGGCTTTATCATCACATTGATTTACATATCTAAACCAACTTTTGTTTATCTGGGAAAACTGGGACTGCTCCTTTAAGTATATATTCTCATTGAGTCTTAACATACTGGTACAGTTTACCTGGGAAATATGGGACTGTTCCTTTAAGTACCGTATATTGTTATTGAAAAATCATTTTGTAAACGGTACAGTTTACCTGGGGCTCGATATCGTCAATAATAACGCTTGATATACTGAAAAGAAATTAACATCCTCGCTATACTCTGTTAAACTAACTATAAAAATATGTCATGTGAGAAAGTTGTAGTTAAAATTCATATTAAGAAATCACTCTTAAAGATCTAATAATATGAATTATTTATTAGGCTATTTGAGAACCATATTGTTGTTGTTTATCAGATTAAAGGATGGGTTTTTTTTGCCAGAAGTGAAGTAAACATAAATAGGTGGTCTCGTATAGGATATTTAATGTAGTATATTGACCATTTTAGTCGCATAAACCCCATTTCTCGCTCTCTTAACTTCTGTTACCATATCCATTTACTGTATGTACACGCAGATATTTTGGGTAATTTTCTTGGGGGAAAAGGTAGGATCTTCATTCAAAGGTGCAGGAAGTAACTCAGTGTGAAATCCTTGATGACAATAAATTCTTGCTGGCGTGTTCACATGCCACCAAACCACTTAATCAATATCATCTGCTTTAAGAATTTATAATCCCGTTGCCATTGTGAACAGAAATTTTGTTCTAAACTTAATAGGTTCATATAATTTGCCTTGGGTAATGTCAATGTGAACGAAACCTAACAGAAAAAAATATTGCACTCGCAGTTTGATGGCATCATTTAAAAAAATTGCTCATTTCACTGACCCGAAAAATGCAATGACTAAAAAAAATGCAAACTTGTTGAAGTCAATTTGCATTTATATATACTTTCACAGGAAAAATCATTTTGTACACGGAAGACGTAATTTTTTTGTCTTTAGTGTTGGTAATGTGAGGAACGGCTATAATCAATAAATCCTTATTAGGATGTAGGTCATATTGACATTTGATAACATCGAATGAGCTGTTTTCATTATAGTTTGTGGTCTTCCATTTTAGCATTTTATTAGGTGCTAAGGTCTTCATCATGCCTGTATCCCTGAAAGCTTTTTCACTTTATAATTGAATTCAAGGCTAAATGTATTAGATGTTCGATTTTAAGTTTTAACAAGTATTGGCATCATGTGGAACTAAAAAATCCTGATTTGTTTAACCTTCCGTCAATGCATGTTGATGCTCTCCGCAAATTTATAGATTTTTTTTTAAAACACCGAGAAACTCTACATGTACATTTATTTTACATGGAAGTATTATGTTATGATGTAAATCCATTAGATTATAGATAAATGTAGATATAAAAAAAAGAGCTATGGTATAAATAAATAAGGGGAAAATGCAGTAATCTGACAGACAAAAACAGGTCTAAATGCATTAGAATAATTAACATTGATGTCTGATTAAATTCTATGTCAAAATTACATCTAAAGCTACTTTTCGTCCATGACAATTTGATTAATAGAATTCTAATCATGAACTCTCTCCAAAATGTAACTAGGAATATTCTTTGGGTCTTGAAGGGTAATATTGTAATAGGGATATATTTCGCACATTTATTCATTCGTTCCTTTATTAATTCATCCATTCATATAATATCCAATGTTTTGTTGTAATAAGTTATTTAAATTTCAATCGATTTATTTTAATACCAATTGGTAACCGATGTTGGACAGCCAACTCATTAATAGTTTAAACTGTATGATAAGCTTAATCCTTATTATTTCTATTATTTGTAATTATTGTCTTTGATGTTTTATGGTTACCTACGTTAGTTAATTATGTATATTTTATATAATCCTTAAATACCAGCTTCTTTAAATACCGAATTGTATATTCATTCATGAGATTCTAGGTTTCATCCCGTTTCCAGGACAGTTGCTCTGCTTGTTGGACGTGCTGTTCTCCATATATGATGTTTAATGTTCTCCAGTAATAAATAGTTTCAAGGATAGTTCCAGTCTTTAGTATTACCGAAGATTCTCTCTGTTATAAGCAGCAAAAGATATGGGCAATATCTCATTAGTACCTTCTTACATTTACAAACAGGCTGATAGAAGACTACTATTAATTTGGTCAAGAAACATTTCTTGATCAACCAAATTTTTCTTCATTTTTTTCTATCAAAATCACTCCTACATGCATGTATTTTTAAAGGTTTCCGAGTCGGAATAAAAATCAGACATTATGAGAAAATGGAGATGGAGTAGAGTGATTGTATTCATTACATCACAAAGATCATAACAAGAATTTTTGACCTGATTTTGATGAGCGTCTAGACACGCAGATTAACGTGTATTGATCGCTTTTATCATCGACATTGTTCTCATTCTGTGTAGGAATAGATACATGTAGTTCCACCAAATAATATTGTCTCTGACAGACTTTCAGGCGAGAAACTATTGCCCAAAGTCAATAAGACATAGCTTTAATTATTAGAATTTATTGCCTGGGGCTCAGAAGAGATACAAACATGTCTGGCAACTTGAAATTTATCTAGGACTCCTTTTTTTTAGCAGACACATTTCATTTATTATAGATTGGCTATGACATAGGCTAGCTTATATCGAAAACAAACTACTTCAGAGAAATATCTATCATGGATGCTTTTTGAGACTAGACATAACATGCTCACTCAATTTAATTATATCAATGTAGAAAGTTTTATGGTGCCATAATAAGATTAGTTTCCATGTAAACCTAAAGTCAGACACTTTCACTTTTAGTTCTTTTAGTTCCAGTTGTTTCTGGGTTTGATTTTTAAATGTACGAAATAAAAACAGTTTTCCACATGGTGGATGTTTAATGTATATGAACCACTTCTATTGACACCTCTAAACCTCTAATTTGACTATCATATATTGACACAAGAGCCATCTCATGAATATGCAATGACATGTATGTTAGATATTAGACATTCTTCCTGTTTAGCTGGCTCGCTCGTCTGGAGGTCGGGTGTTTGATCCCTGCATTGGTAGAGAAAGTTCATCAGGATTTTCCGGTGTGGTTCTCCCTCGTCAGTGATGCAGGACGGAGGTCCTGACAAGGACAGCTGTCTGGTCATTCGGATGGGACGAAAAAACGAGGGCCCATGTACACATTTGCATGCACGTAAAAGTCCCTTGACAGTTGAAATTCGATATAAGAGTAGGCTGTCCGGGCAAAATTTCCCTTTTAGCACTCTGTATGGTATATGCCCGTCTTCATTAGCCCAGTTCGGAGCAGAATAGTAGGACGTTAAACCCCATTTCATTTCATTTCTTTCTGTTTATAGATAAATGTTCATGATTATTATATGTGCCATTGGGGGGTTGGATGGTCAAATGGTTAGCGGCGTGTGAGTTGCATCAAAAGGTCTGTCATTGAGTTCACTGGCATGGTTTTGATTCCCCGGTTGTACGTGACAAGGAGTAGGGTCGTCTGTCCTCAGGTTTCCTTCCACTGAAATAAAATAGAACCATATGTTAGTCCCAAAATGACCTACTTTGTGTCCAGTGGAGTTAAACTCTCTCTCTCTCTCTATGTGGCATTGACAAAATCTCCAAGTGCCTTTTCCAACCTCGTGGGTTTTCTCTGGGTCCTCCAGTTTCCTCCCACTGCTAAAGACCCCTATGCGCAAGCGAATTATTGAAATAAAATTAAACCATATGTTAGTCCCGAAATGACCTAGTTGTGTCGAGTGGACGTTAAACCCCAGTTCTCTCTCTCTCTCCAAGTGCCTTTCATTACAAGAAATGTTGCTGTTGCATAATATGAAATCAGGACAAGTTAGTTGTGCGGTATTGTTAGCAACTGACAGATGGTTGCATTACTGATGGTTCTTTCATTTGTGCAGCTAGCCTCGGGGCTTTCTTCTCCGTGCACTCGATTATTTTATGCATCCATATTATCTTTCAAGATAAAATTCAGAGAAAATACATTTTGTTAGGTTTTTTTTTTTATCTTCTGAATAATGTCACTACACCCTTGTGATTTAAAAATAAAAACATGTACCGTATCTTGGTTTTAATGACTCTAACCATTTAAAAATAACAAAAGTATATGGATGAATTACCATTGTGAATATTTTCTGATCAAATTTATTTATGGTGCTTTATTTTTTGTGTTTTTCAGGGAAAATGTCAAAGAGAAAACCCTAAGTGTAAATACTTACACCCACCCCAACATTTAAGAGAACAATTGTTACAGAATGGACGTAATAACTTGATATTAAAAAATCTGCAGTTACAAGCTGCAGCTTCAACCCTGCATCCGTATGTGCCTGCACCAGGGATGATTCCCTTTGTAAGTATAACAGATATAAAATCTTTTCCATCCATCAAGATTCAGTAGCAAATAAACCCATTTATTATACTTAATAATGAAAATCTTGAAAAATTTGTCAATTTATCATTTATTGTTTAGACCAAAGCATCTATTTTGTGCCATATTGTTGAAAACTTAAAAAACAAATTTTTTCAAGTGAATTCATTATTTTCTTTTGATAACAGTGATTTTTAATCTAGTTTTTAGTAAATAATTTCACAAATGTAATAATTTGAGGCATGTGTTTTGGCTTGATATTATAATATCATCAATTAATACAGTACATCGGGGTATAAATAGATAGGCCACATAAACTGTTATATGTTTTACATCTAGCAGGTAAAATAAAAAGCACCTGCTATATGATTTACATCTAGCAGGTAAATAAAAAACAAAAAAGAAAACATCTAGAAAATATGACTTGGTTATTTAAAAAAAGTATATGGAAAATATATTGTTTTAAAAAAAAAAAACAACCAGCTTGAAGATGTTAATTGGTTACCCTTTTTGAACTCAGCTCTATTTGCATTGCATTTTAAGATACTTATATTTTTTCTTGCATGTTATGGGAAAATATTAAAGCTATGATTTTTATTGTTAGTGCATTACATGAAACCATATAATGGATTGTCGATATAAGAAGTTTCATAGAATTATGATCCAATGCAAACTATTTAAATAAAATAACAGTTCCAATTTCTGGTGAACAATTACTTTGGTATTTTACATATACCTGGATGTACGTTCAAATACACATGCTAGCATTCTGCTTTCAATATTGCATGGTAATTGGTTGGAAAATTTATAATATGTTGTTTACGTGTGACATTTTGCACAATATTGCTTGCACTTCTACCAAAGTTATTGACAATACAGTTACTAGAAATCGTGTTAAATACTGCACAACATTAACATTATTAACCCTAGTGAGGACACGTCGCACGAAAAAAATGTTGTCGACAACAAGGGGTAATCTAAGACCCCAGACATAGATAGGTTTTTGTATGCATAATTTGATTCAAATACGATCAAAGTACAGCTTCATATAAAGACTGAATAATAATCAATCAGAGTAAAAAAAAATATTTGAGGTATTATCAGTGACGATATGAATTATAAGATATTTTTGAACCCATCAAAATCTGCAAATAGCTTAATTGTCATATTCATGTAGGATCGTCTTTTGACGGGGTTGGTAGAGTACCTAGATTTGTTTTCAGATCAAGATTACTAGAATGATCAACACAATATCATCAGTAAGAAATATTCCAAATACAAAGCTTTCACTGAGCGCAGTACAGATTAGACACTTTTAACCAGCAAAATGTTTAAAGGAGAGGGGAGTGGGGTCAACAAGACCCCTTGTTTCCGATAATGTAATACTCAAAGTTTCTTGTCAAATGGTGACTGTTGCCACTGCCTCACTTCTGTTCTATTTGCAGAGTTATAGCCAACGTTAAGTAGCTGACAGTGTATAAAATTCTCGCTAGACAATTATGAACCAATTCCCCACAAATGTTAAGGATATAGTCGTGGGGTCCCAAAATAACCCTTGTATCTGCACCAGGGTCAAAGGTCAATTGTTACAATTTAGATTTATTCAAAACAACTAAAGCAGATCTGTGAAACTCAATTTTGCAGGCTCAAATGCTAATCCTGGAAGTATGCTGCTTCTGAGCTACCCAATTTTTTTTACATTTGTTGGCTGACAAAATTTTATTGGGAGTTAGACTGTGAATAATTTATCATATCTCAATGCCCATTTTTAGCTGGATTTAATTTATGTAAAATATTTAAACAAAAAAAATAGTACTAACGCAAGGTAGTCCGGGGTAGTCCCATATAAAGATTTAGTTTCATATTTTAAAAACATTCATTTTGACCAGAAAAAATATCCTTTAAAGAGCATCCTGTTATTATGAGTTCCATGGAAACATTTTTCACTTTTTGGTCCCAAATGGCATCAAGCCAATTAAAAAAGCCTGTGATAAATGAGACTGATGGAGTGTTTTGTTGTTTCTAATGTATTATGTTAAAAATAACTCATACAGCAGATAAACTAGTTTTATGATAGTCCCGAAATACCTCTCAACTTTATATTACTTTATTTACAGTTAAATTGAATGAAATAGGGTTTATTTTACAAACAAAATCTTCAAAATAATAATATTTATATAAAATTTAGGTCTTCTGCAACCTTACTTCACAATGAATTTTGGCAAATCTTCCCTGAAATTTCCAGGATTACTTTGGCAAAACTAAAAAAATTTCCTAGACATAGATTACCAAAGAGTTGAGAGATTTGGGCTCAAAGAAAGGAAAAACATTTGTTATTTTTCTTTAACTTAAGTGAATTCTTTAGATCTGATTTAAACTGGTACCTGTTTTACACCTGTAACGGGACATTCTTACCTTAGGCAATAAGTTCACACCTTTTTCTTTTGAGATCTGATATCTGCAGTCTGCACATAGGAAACTTTCAGAGGAAGTCCTAACCCTCAAAGAAATGAAAACTGGAATATCAGAAATTTCATTAATTTATTATTTAATTAAGTATAATGAAAAATGGAAACAAGGTTTCCACATAATAACATTAGAAGAAATAAATAAAACAACTATAATAGAGAAGCTTTATAATAAAAAAAATTAAAAAAAGGAGAAAAGAAAAGGTCACCAGCATGTTTGAAAATCAGATATTTATTTTTCATAGCCATTATGAAAGTTTTCCTTACTATTACTTGAACATATGTGAAAATATAAAAATCCCTGCTCAACAGTAGTACAAACAGATTTTAAGTTACAATAAGAAGTGGTTTATTATTCACAGAACGGAGGGCCTGACAAGGACAGCTGTCTAATCATTCGGATGGGACGAAAAACCGAGGTCCTATGTACACATTGGCGTGCACGTAAAAGATCCCTTGACAGTTGGAATTCGATGTAAGAGTAGGCCGTTGAGCCGCTGTCCGGTCAAAATTTCCCCTCATAGCACACTGTATGGCGTATGCCCGTCTTCATTAGCCCAGTTCGGAGCAGAACAGTAGGACGTTAAACCCCTCACATTTTGGGTGATATGACCCTTTTATTTGACCCTTATATTTTCATTTATGTCTAGATCTACCGGCCTGTCCAGCCTCTGCTACTCTTTTAAGGGAATATTGCCGTTCCACCTCTACTTTTCCTATTACTTGAACAGCAAAACTTTGTTTGTTTTTCTCAAGATCTTTGCTCAAAATACCAAAGTTTTGAATTCTTAAGAAAAAAATATCAAAAAATTATCGCTCACAGTCAACTACTAGGCTGATTGTTAATAAGATTCTGAAGAAGGGAAATAAAATTGGTTTGGCCTTATTATAATAATATGTTACAGCAACACAGTGGGAAGCCTACTGATTGTTTAGTATTGTCGGTAATTGTAATTATAAGAACAAGATCTAGTACAATACTACAGACACCTGGGGTTACCTACCTATATATAGTGTTAATTATATTGATTATTATTGACAATGACTGAACTAAAGATTAATTATAGGTAATAAGTCAGGTTTCCATAACAAACCATCACATAACAGCCACTCAACATATAGGGCAAGGGAGATAACTCATCAAAGTAGAATAATTTATTTACAAGTACACCAATATGCATATGAATAATCTTAAGGCAATAGTAATAATTAATTCATTTATACAGTCCAACAAAATCTAGCCAATAGCTTCTCTAAGGCGCTTTACGAAACTTGGACATGGAATTTATATTTCTTTAAAATAAAGACATAAACAAAGATAGATGGTAGTAACCTGAATATAGATATCGAAAAACACGTATCTATACATTATAAAACAATTTTATCTTCAAGTTGAAATGTTTCCATAATTTTACAGCCCTTTTCCTGTGTTTAGTTTCCAGTTTATAGTTTTCATGGGGGGTGGGGGTGGTTGGAGGGCCGAATGGTTAGCATGAGGCCTGTCATTGAGTTAACTAGCGTGTTTTCGAGTCCCCGGTTGTACGTGACAAGGAGTAGGGTTGCCTGTCCAACCTCGTGGGTTTTCTCTGGGTCCTCCGGTTTCCTCCCACTGCTAAAGACCCCTACGTGCAAGCGAATTATTGAAATTAAATTAAACCATATGTTAGTCCCGAAATGACCTAGTCTGTGAAATAATGGATGATACAGAAAGAACATGCAGTATCATGATTTTTGATTTTAAATTATCTTTTAACTGTAGACAAGTGGTAAGAGTGCTGGCTACCAGTCCGTAAGCTTAGATTCGATACTTCCGGGCCAATACCCTTTAATGGTTAGTGGTATATCTACATATTTAGTCGCAAATATTTTCTTTTCTACAAGCTTTAATATTCATATATATATATATATTTGTTACTGTTATGCATTTTATATTTTAATTTGTTTATGCATTGAGTGTGTATTTATATGCTTCTAAAATGCCAGTTTGTCGAATTTCACCAATCTGGTTAAAACACAGATCCTATTTCGTTTCGTTTTTATAGTTCAAAATTTCGTTTTACTTGTCTTTACAACACTTGGATCTGGAAGAGTTGTTATTTAACTCGTGTTCTGAATGGTGTCAGGGATACGCCAATGAAACGGTCTGTTACGGCGAGCTTTAGGCATGTTTTTCACGGAACTGTGGGTAATCCACTAGTAACATCAATGCTGATTAGTTAATCAAATGTCTGCCGTCATAGGTCATAAGTCGATCTTTTGACCCCTGACGTGACCTATCGCTATAACTTGTCAGATCCTCATGTATTGTAGGCCATCGAAAGTATAAAAAAACGAAACGAAATATAGATCTGTATTTTAATCTGATTGGAATTTCCCCTTTTTACATCTAACAAAAAGATTTCGCAAATAACAAAATCTAAAATATATCGTAGTGAACATTCTTATGTTTCATCTATCAAAGATATTTTATATTCCATTTGAACGATAATTTACAAAACCTCATAATCCAGATCATTTTATCTGGAGGGCAAAAAATACGTAGAAATTATTTTTTCTTAGATTTTGTCATTTTATATCTTGGAGCACTACCATGAAATACTAATAGTCAGCATGAATTTTTTTTTATTTTTGTCCTAAAAGACTACTAGTGGTAAATATTCGGCCGCATACCAGTCCATGCAATCCGTAGTTCCGGGGCAATACCCGTTTCTGGTTAGTGGTATTTGTTCATTCCGTAGCCTTGCTCTTTATTTCATCACGCTCTTGGCTACATATGTTTGCTTTTCTCTATGCTTCTTTTTCTTTTTCTTGACAATTAGAATAAAAATTCAAGGAGTGTGCTGAATCATACAAACATAACAAACAAACATGTATTATTATGTTGACACTCATGTCCGCCTTCCACGGATTATAAATTCATGTTTGACTTGTACTTTAAAATTAAAAACCAAAAATTGTGTAATATTTATTTCTTTAGTAATTGAACAGTGACACACTAACACTATTTATGGAATAACAATTACTGGTTTATTAACATGCAACGTTTCCACGACGATACTCTCATCTTTATCAAGCAAATCATCGTCGTGGAAACGTTGCATGTTAATAAACTAGTAATTGTTATTCCATAAAAAGTGTTAGTGTGTGTAATATTTACTTTCGATTCACTATAATAAATGTTCGTTAAAATCCTGTGTCCACTAAGAATGTTACTGCTTGTTATTTTGGTATCAAACTTGTTCAGTATATTTGCTGTTCTAATCTTTAAGAGAAATGTTAATATTTTCAATATTGTAAATACAGGGAATTTGTTGTTTTGAAGAGTACAAGAGAAACTGCCATTTATTATCCATGGTGTGGACATTTTAACTGATCTTGCCCCAGGATCATAAAATATTTGAGGTTTTTTGGGGGGTGGGGGTGGGGGTTTGTCCAGCTAAATTTTTACCCGAACTTCAATTTTTTGTTGTCAGTGCTTAAGGGAAAATATGCAATTTATATTTTGTCAAATCAGTACAATAAAACTAAACTTGAATTTTATAGGCATAGAGAGAATAAAAAAAAAGTTGCACGATCTTGGGGTCGGATTTGACCCTTGATGACAGAATTCAACCACTTTAAAATAATGATGTTACCAACAATTCCCATTCTGGACGGAAAAAGGGTTAACTTACTTTAGTCATTCTATCTTCCTGGATTTGTGGGAAGTTTGCAGTGTGACATAAAAGTATTTGTTATTGGGGTACAAGATAGATAACTTTCGTTTAAAAGTGACTTCGGAATCAGACCACCACTTATGATTGCTTTGTTTGGTTTTTTGTTTGTTGTAATGCTGGTAATTTTACTATGCCTCACTTTAGATTAATCTGAATAAAACACAGATCCTATTTCGTTTTGTTTTTTATAGTTCAAAATTTTGTTTTAATTGTCTTTACTACACTAGGATCTGGAAGAGTTGTTATATAACCCATAGCCAATGAAAAGGTCTGTTACGACGAGTTCTTGGCGTGCTGCGCACAGAACTGTGGGTATACAATTATAAAAATCAATGCTGATTGATTAATCAATGTCTAACATCATAGGATCAAAAGCCGCTTGTATGGGCCCTGACACAACATTCCACTACAACCAGTCAGATCTTCATGTAGTAGAGGCCATCGAAAGTAAAAAAAAAAAAAAACGAAACGAAATATAGATCTGTATTGTAATCAGATTGCACTTAGATCTATATTTTAACCCTTTCTAGTGTATTTTGCATGACATTGTTAAAACCATTATTTTCACTTCTTTGTATTTTCAGAATCCGAGTTTCAAGAATGCTAAATTTAGCAGATCTAACATATTTTTTTGTGATATTGCTACATGATTTTATTATAAATCAAAATAGCACTATTTTGTTTAATGGAAGAAACACTATTTTTTACTAACATGAAATTATAATTTATTCAGCTAATGAAACTGTAGAATAATTTGAGAAATCGTATGTGATAACTTTTGTATTGTTTTTGTGACAGGCCCCACCATATATGAACACCATGCCGTCAGCTGTTAATTTTAATCCATACATGAACGCTTCTATTAACATGACCGTCCCAAGTGGAGTTGGTGACGGAGGTTCCTACATCTCACAGCAAATTCCAGGTGGGGTAATACCTACACAGATTCAACATACGCAACAAAAAGTGGCTCGTCCTGATCGACTTGAGGTAGGGTACCGTTGGTAATCATTACGAACTATTCTATTTAAAACTTATTGTTTTGTGCCATGACAGAAATATCTTAAAACCATCCATCTTGTATTGGCTGATTGTAGATGTTGATTGATCTTCTTTACTACGTGTATTCTCTTCCGTCAAAAAAAAAAAAATCGAGGGCTTTTTTTTTTTTTTTTACCTTTTGTTTCATATCAATGTTGGCAAGACAGTTGATATTTTCTTGCAATGAACAGCCATATTTCTGCTAAGCAGTACTGCTTTAGAATTACACGCTTTTACATGTAGATAGATCATAGGCTATGGAAGTTGGGCCATCTATCATGTGGTTCTTTTTAAATGCTCTTTAATTTCTTTATTAAAAAAAAACTTTCAAAACACACTTTGTTGGTGATCATTGTTGTTTGGCTTCCGCCGCTTGACAACTGCAAATGCTTGATTGGAGCAAATTTGAATATGACATGACATAACGACACAAGCCTGGTTATATATTTCTATTTAGTATAAAATGGATTTTTTTTAGAAAGAATTTCAAAACTCTGTGCACATGTGATTATTTTTAAGTTCCTGTCTGATTCCTTTGAAATATATTTATATGTATGTCATCACATTATTTTGAACAATGTAGTCAAGCACTTTTAAATTTTTTTCTCATATGTTTCTCTCTGCTTCAGAGAGATCAGATCCGAGCTGTTTTGGGGAGGAACCTGACATCTTACTATTTTAATATCCTTTCTCCATTTTGTCTCGCTTGTTTTAAAATAGTCACCTATATTTAGTACTTCCATATTATCTCTTTCTTTTAATTATCTATGCTCTAAATTTTAAATTGTCCCTCACTGTACTACTACTGTTTTAGAGTAGCCCCCCTTATCCCCTCCCTCCATGAAATTGAAGTCCCACTCTCGCTGTGTAGTTGATTGGTGGATATTCTCCGCCTGCTTGCTACTAACACAAACCTTTTCTGCTTTTCTACATTCTTTGCAGGTATGTCGTGAATTTCAAAGGGGTACTTGTACGCGGCAGCCTAGTGAATGTCGCTACGCGCACCCTCCTGATAATGTTACTATAGAGAGCGCAGACAACCATGTAACTGTGTGTATGGATTTCGTTAAGGGAAAGTGTATACGGGATTCGTGTAGATATTTCCACCCTCCATCTCACCTCCAGACTCAGATAAAGGCTGCACAACAACGAGCTAACGCAGTCGCTACGCAGACCCCATCTCTGGTAGGGGTTCCTTTCTGCTTCAACTCACTAGTTCTCGCTAACTGTTGTTCTTAATTTAAATGCTATTTAGTCACTTTCCTTAGCTTGAATTATCTTTTAGTTTTGTTATTGAAATCTGGAAAATTACACCGTTTGAAAAGTCGAAAAAAAAAAAAATGACATACAAAATTATGAACCAAAGTAAATTGAACAATGAGATCAGATCATCTCGTTTTTTCTTTTATATCTTTTGGGTTACAGTACCGGAATTTAAAAATTATTATATTTCGAACTTTTTTTTAATTCACTAATGTAGTAATGTATTGTAAATGAGTAATGTACGTGGTATTACTTAATTTTAATTTTCCAAGTTTGAATACGATACCTACATTTAATTTTAATAGTCCCTGAAATATGGGTCACTTATCTTGCGCCTGTCTAGAAGCCTAAAATCTGCCCCTTTATGTTTCCAAAACTTACTGTTCTCTATCCGTGAATGATTATTATAGTATCTTGCACTGACAAAAAGTTAATTTAATATTTTCTTGCCCTTCCTACCCTTAATGGATGCATCAAGCTTATACAATGCTAATGTTCCATACTTGAGCATTTAATTCTTGGTTATTTTTTGCTTTATTTTATTGAATGATTAGGATATCCTTTGCATAATTAGTGTGGTGTTAGACCTAAAACCTTTTGCCTGCTTGTAAATATTTTCAATTTAATAATGCACTCTTCTTGTCTTGACATTCACTTTTTTGAATTGTTTAAAAAAAAGATTAAAGAAAAAAAAAGCATAGATCAGCTTTCTGCAAAAGTAGATTTGCCTCACTTTAGTTTCAGTCTGCCTTCCTTTATGCCTAAACTTTGACCTGACCCTTTTCCTCAAATTCCTCAAATTTACACGAAGCACGTGTACATTCAAACCTAACGTATACCGAATACGAAAAAAAAATATAAATACATGGCGACAGTTTGCGGTTTATCACCATATTCTAAAGAAGGGGGTGGGGGTAACTCACGATATTGCAAAATCACAGGACAAGATAGGACCCTGTGCATGACTTGTGATATATTTATATATATATAAATGTTATTTTGTATATCTTATATGATCTCCATATATATGAAATATATCTTGTGTATTGTATGCTTTAATACATTTATGTCAGACAAACAGCCCACACCTTTTACACCACCATCTTGACTATTGGGACATGCTCACAGAGCTTACTGCCTTTCTATATAATCACTATACATATCATTGATTTACTAAATTAAGTTCCACTTAGATCAGATCAGATTGCACACAGAAATCAAATTCGGAGTTTTATAAGATACTTGCGATCAGTCAAACACACACATGTATAGGATAGTTATTTTTAATACTTGTCAAAGTAGGTTAATTCCATTACGTGATGCAAATATGTCCTTGATGCAAATATGTCCTTCGGTGAATCATGAACTACACAAACAAGTTAGCTCTATACTCACTGTATATTGGATGTTCACACTATATAGAACAAGATAGAATTAAATCGGGAAAGTGTTAGCAGAGTTCACTGGTAAGTTATTTGCTCATTTAAAGCAAATTCTAAAACCCACCAAGTTCTACCTTCATGTGATCTTGATTCTCTGAAAAAAATTACAACAGTGTTATGTATTGGTTGATTAGAATTACCAAAATGTTTTTTAATTTGTTTTCGAAAAAACGGAATGGCAGATAGTGGATCAATATTGAACACGAGCCTTGTTGATGAAAACAAAAATAGATATAAATCTAATCTAAAAATCAAATTAGTTTTTTTTCGAATGACATAATTCAAAATTAGTACCGTACCATGCAGTATTCATTTTTTGTTGAGAATTGAATTAGCAAAACCCATAATCATTGTTGTAATTTAAGAGACGGTTATAACTATTATTTTTTTCATCATTGAACTGTGATTTTTCTGATATAATTTAATCTTTAACAAAAATATGTACAACAAAAAACCTGTTTTGTTTTCAGCCAATCTTTTCAATTTTGTAAACTATATAATCTCTTTATTTTATTATTTTTTTTTTATTTTATTTACAGAAAAATGTGTTTTAATATTTTTGACTGGAAATAAACTTTTAATTGTTTTAATCGAAATTAATAAGTCCATGTTATTGTACATCAAATTGTTTTTTTTTTTTTAAAAATTGTACATTGAAACACAACGTGTTAAGTTCTCTAAAATTGAAAAAAAATCCCCTCAAAATTCTCCCCAAGATTACATACAAAAAAAAAGTGATCATTTACATTATTTCTTGATTTATTTTCTTGATTTCTAACAATTTTATTTTTGCATGACTCATGTTTGGCACACTGTCATCACGATATATTATATATATATATAAATTTATATACATCATATACTGTATACATGCAGCTCAAATCTTTCTAAATTCTTGTCATGTTTTATTTTAAAATTTTAAATACTGTGGAGAAATTCCCACCAAAATTTAAAAAACAAATCGGAACAGAATCATTTCTCCTTTGGCATGATAACTCTAAAAAAAATCTCTTATACAATTTTTTTTCCTATGAAGCTCTGAATTGAGGAGAACTGACATTGTGAATATTAATTGACTATTGACCAGTACCAGTATCGAAAAAGGAAGACCAAGTTTCTTCAAAGATTTCTTTTGGAAAAAAACAATATATATATAAAAAAAACACTCTTTGGCTTTATACAGTAATGTAATTTTAGTTGGTGACCAATTTTGTCGAAACTCTGAGATTGTTTGCGATGTATATGTAATTAGTGTTATGGTGTAGTTGGCGATTTTATTTATTATTATTAGTATCATGATGTCACATGATCTGTAGGTCTAGCTTAAATGTTAAATTAGGTATTCAAGTCGCTGTTATACTTAGATATATCACCCAAAATTCTTTTTTTTTTTTTTTTAGTTTTGATAGTCTTTCCATGGCGATCCCTTGTATAGCTAATTCAAAACTCTATCCTCACTCATTGAATACTTTCAGTGGATAAACTAATGAAAATTTATGAAACTTCCTTGTTGAACCTCTCTCTCTAATGATGTGCGATTATTAACCAAATCTTTTATATCTATTTACCAGCAGTTTATCTAATTATTTTAGACATCTTATTTTACTCAACTAACTTAGCTTTGAATTTGTGACTAATTGTGCATACGTTTTTGTTTGGTTGTGGGTCTTGTATTTTTGCCTTATTCGATACTGGTATGTTCATCTATGATTTAAATGCATGTTATGGAACTGTTTTTACCGATGGTGCTTTTTTTTTTTTATTTTCATCACCCAACATGCCTTGCCGCTTGCTCTACGTTGTCATGTTCCGCCAACCCTGCAAATGCCGCCATTTCATTGGCCATTGCCATCATGTGCTCCGCATACTAATTAGCCGCAAGTGGTTGAGGTCTTGACCGCTGGCAAGAAGAGACCTCGAGACCCTGCCGATGATCTAGTTCTGGTACTATTCCCATGATGCTTTGCATGTAGCTGTAGAAAGCTTAAATACGATTATTTGCACAGTCACATGACAAAATATGGCTACCTTTCTTGCTTTTTTTGTTAGAATTAATTTGTTTTTTCCTCTGATGGTGAAAAAGTGTCTGGTTTTTTCATTACAGCATCACAATACAATACAATACAATACACGCCTTGCATGGCAGCTTACTTTTGGATGTTCTCTTGGTCATTTAAGTTATTATTAGCCAAAAAATTGGTGATAAGGGGAAACCTTCTTAACACCTAACTGTCATGTGATTCTGCAAAATCAATTTAAGTAGACTATAAAAAGTAAAAAAAAAAGTATTTTATTTCTTTCGTTCTTTATTTAAATGATTATGAAGTAGTTCTGCACTTTAATGAAAGTATGTAACACTCTTGATAATTAAAACTTTTAGTATATAAAGTAGTGCCTCTCATGAAAGCTTTACGTTTACTAGAAATTAAGCTCTTAAATTGTCTCTTTTAATTGGCTTTTGCAGAGAAATTGAAAATTAATCAAAACCCTTACTCCAATTTTTCCTCCTTAGAGGGTAAACAAACTTTTTTGCATTCAGATAGGGAAAGGGTGCTTTTTTCGATTTTTCGATTTTTTTTTTTTTTGCATATCTTTCTTTTTTACCCCTCTTTCTAACAGAACAATTTTACTAGGTATCTTTTATTGTTTCTTCTTGTATAGGGGGCGTTCCCAAACATGGTTCCACATATAAAACGCCTGGCTGTAACAGACAGTAAAAGTGGCATTCCAGTCTACCAACCTAGTTCCATGGGCATGGGTGCTGCCTACCAACACGCTACAATGATGCAGCTTCAACAACAGCCCTACATCCCTGTCACATGTAAGTAAAATAACACTTAAATTCTCACTTTGTAGTCTTTCTTTTCTTCTTTTTTTTTGTTGTTGTCTTGATGAATGTTAGTTGTGGATTCTCCGCATATTTCCTCAGTAAAGGAATGACATCAGATGGTCCACAGGCCTGGAAATAACAGTTTTAGAAGTACCTGTGAGGTACTAATGAAAAAATACCTGACATTTTCAACTTAGTGTCTGACATGTATTAATAATATCAATAAAACAGACAAATCAGTGCCTGACAAAATGACTGGCACCAGAGGTTTTGTGCCTGACAAAACCTGATCTGTGCCTGACATTGTCTGTGACAGGTGCCTTATTTCCAGGACATGGAAGTTTTACTAGGAGTGACGGGGGGGGGGGGGGGTATACCTCATTGATGGATTGGCTCAAGTGGGTCTGATGAAATCAACATAAAGATAAGCTATGACTGACATGTAATTCTTTTTGATCAACATGTCAAAAAATTAATTAAGGATCTTTTATGGCAGTACAATAAATGCCGTATTAAAATATTGTAAACTTGATGCCTGGAGGTCGGGTGTTCGATCCCTGCATTGGCCGAGAAAGTTCATCTCGATTTTCCGGCGTGGTTTCCCCTTGTCAGTGATGCAGAACGGAGGGCCTGACAAGGACAGCTGCCTAGTCGTTCGGATGGCACGAAAAACCGAGGTCCCGTGTACACATTGGCGTGCACGTAAAAGATCCCTTGGCATTTGGAATTCGATATAAGAGTAGGCCGTAGCGCCGCTGCCCGGGCAAAATTTCCCTCATAGCACACTGTATGGCGTATGCCCGTCTTCAATTAGCCCAGGTTAGGTGCAGAAGAGTAGGACGTTAAACCCCATTTCATTTCATTTTATTTTGTAAACTTGATCGCATGTTGTCATTCCTTCGCTGGGTGAAGTTGTTTGAAATTAATTTATATATACTTCATTTTGTTCGAGATTGTGTATGACATGTAAATGTCCACATAATCATGCATGTCTTTTTTTTTGTTCAATTTTTGAAGCTTCATGCAAAGATTATCTGATTAATACCAGGGCCGGCGGAAGCAATTCTTGATTGGGGGGGGGGGGCTTCCATCCTAGGTCCTTATAGGCAAGGGTCCAGGGGCCACAATAACCTGGAGAAAAGAGTACTTGCGGCCAAATTATTGGGGGGCATAGCCCCCCCCTAGCCCCCCCACTCCGCCGGGCCTGAATACACAGTAACATAATATATATAATCCTTTCGTTGTATTTCACGATTGGAAACAACAAAACTAACATAGTTATATGGGACAACAATCACTGGGTTTATTATACACTAGTTTCAATAAGTATCCTTTTATCTTCATGAGAAAGAGAGAGAGGGGTGGGGGGGGGTAACATCCACTGACAAAAACTCGGTCATTTTGGGAGAGAGAGAGATGGGGTTTAACATCCACTCGACAAAAACTAAGTCAATTCGGGACTAACATATGGTTCAATTTTATTTCAATCATTCGCTTGAATGTAGGTGTCTTTTAGCAGTGGGAGGAAACCGGAGGACCTAGAGAAACCCCACGTACAACAGGGGAATCGAAACGCTGCCAATTGACTCAATGACAGACCTTATGATACAGCGCGCACGTGCTAACCATTCGGCCATCCAACTCCCTGATAACGATAAGAGGATATTTATCAAAATGTTGTCTATATAATAAACCAGTGATTGTTATCTCATGTTAGTTTTAACAAAATACAATTAGGCTATAAAATTTTGAATTTTTAATAAAGCTCAATTCATCAAGTCCTGATTTAATTTGAGAGTAAAATCAATTTGATTAAAGATACATTATGGAAGATTAGATAAAGAGCTGGCAGTTCTCATTATAATAGTTAAAAACTAGATAATGTAAAGGGAATTTGCTGAAAATTTCAGTCAAAATGATCCACTCTCAACAAAGAATTTAGCGATTGAATTTTGGGCCTGACCTCGATCATCATTACTAAAGTCAGTACGATAAAAAACATAGTCTCCTTATCTAATTTTTGATTTAATCATGAATGAGCGTTAAGCAGCAGATATGATTATAATCCAGTAAATATCGCAGGCTAGCGATGACATAGAGAGTTGATTATTGTCTGGATAAGTTAATTAATGTCTAATTAATTATTTAGATAACATTTCAGACCTAAAGAAAGGCCTGCAATTGGCAGATTTAGCTCTTGCATAATGCATGTTTAATATATCTTTTGTTTCATTTCGTCTCTGTAGTTCCGAACTTCCACACTACAGAAGATCAAACATATACTCCGAACAACTGCTGGTCAGATGACAGGCATCATCAACTCTGTTATACACAAAACCTCTGTGAGTTTATTCATAAATCCATAGATGTCATTCTCAGTGGCTGTTCAATTGGAACATGACAGTGATGAAATAAAACCAGTCATTGTTTTTGAAGGTGAACGATGGCTCTCGAGCTCCAACCGCGCACCTGAATGTCGGGGAGTAGGGTCGCCTGTCCAATCTCCATGGTTTTTTCTGGGTCCTCCGACTTTCCTCCCACTGCTAAAGAACCCTACGTGCACGCGAATTATTAAAATAAAATTGAACCATATGTTAGTCCCGAAATGACCTAGTTTGTGTTGAGTGGACGTTAAACCCCATTTTTCTCTCTCTCTCTCACTCTCTATGTATTAGTTATTATTTTTGTAAGAAGCTAAAGAATTGTTCAGACTTCGTATTGAAATGCATGCAATTCATCCTTGTTATTTTGCATTAGATTGTATGATCTTATTAACATTGAAAAAGACAAAATACCTAACATGGATGCTGTTTGAATCTGAATCATTCTTACAGACTCTAAATTAGTTGTTTTATTCAGTTTCATTTTTGAGTGCAGGGCCGGTTGTAGAAAATGTGTGGCCCAATTTGGGAGGCCCGAAGTTACAGGATATGCATACATTGCAGTATGTTCTGAAAAAGCCACGAATAGCCAGAAATATGAATGGATATTTCTCTATTTGTCTTGTAGCCATCAATACCTGAAAAATAGCAACACCTGGCAGCCCTTCTGCCAGATTGCCACAAATTTTTAAGTTGGTGAGCCATGGGGTCCCTTTCTAGTGCAGGGCCCAATTTGGGAAAATTGGTCAAATGTGTTTGCGTGTTTGTCACTTTGTCTTTTTCAATCAGAGAAGCTTGGTCCATTAACATTTAGCATTTTGATAATATTTTAATAATCATTCCTGACCAGCATTGAACAGTAAATGGTTTTCACTTTTAATGGTGGATTTATTCTTGTTTAGACTCTTCTAGCAAAAAAAAGGAAAACTACATTTCATATGGTCACCGTTAGAAACAATTTACTGTTAGATGCAATTATCGTATTTATTTTTAACAATTGTTTTAAACCGCTTTTGGTTAATATTTTTTTTTTATATATATTTTCTTATGTTGTTATTTCTTAGATTATTTATTTATTTATTTATTATTTTTTTTTTTGCTTTGTTATTAATAATTGATTTTCATTGTTATTATGTTGCATTTTTAACACGTTAATTTATTTTTTATATGTTCTATCTGTTTCATGCTGTTCACAAATACCTGTGTGCTTGTTGCCATTTCTGCATGGCATTTGCTTCACCTGCACAATTTGCATTTTGTTACTATGGTAATATTTGATTGACAGATCCGCTGGTCGTAGCACCAGCTGAAACTGTGGTGAAGGCCCCCGCTTATCCAATACCTTCTAATGCCACTAGTGTTGATTACTTTGATGAAAATAAACAGGTAGAGTTGATATAGAGAGAAAACAATGCCCATATTTGATGGTATCGGGTTTAGAGCCCGTAAAATTCTATTCCATGATTAAATACATGATAGTGGAATCACGCTTGTGAATCAGTCTTTGAAAGTAACAACTTTGATTTATTACCGCTTCCTTTTAAAACTTCAAAACTTTCAATTACTGGCTGCACTGGCCGAGAAAGTTCATCGTGATTTTCCGGCGTGGTTTTCCCTTGTCAGTGGTGCAGGACGGATGAGATGAAAAACCGAGGTCCCGTGTATACATTGGCATGCACGTAAAAGATCCCTTGTAGCTGCCTGGGCAAAATTTTCCACATAGCACACTGTATGGTGTATGCTCGTCTTCATTAGCTCAGTCAGAGCAGAACAGTAGGACGTTAAACCCATTTCATTTCATTTCTTTTACTGGCTAAAATTTGTTTTTTAAACATAACAAAAGTTCAAAGGGCATTGTTTCCTTTCTTCTTTATTACTCGAATATATGGAGAACCTTAAAATAATTTCCTATTAACTATCTTACTAATAACGCCAAATGATTGGAATTCAACTAAATTCATTTTAATACCATTTCAATAACAACAATTGTTAAACTACTAACAAAAGGCCTTAAGCAAGCTTGCTTTTCTCTAACAAATACAGAAATAAGGCTTTGCAAATTAAAAACATGCTGGAAATGTTGATTTATTTTTTCACACAATTTTTACCCAAGCTTTTGATGGTGGATAGTTGCTTCAGTAGTATTTAATTTTGTATTTTTTTTTTTTTTTGCATTGTTTGGCATTTTTAAATTTTTAGTTTTCATTGATTCAGTTGTTTTTTTCCCCAACAGATTGCACAGGATCATATTCCAAAAAGGAAAAGCTATAAGAGGTTTTCAGCTTTAATATTTTGCCAGATTGCCAAAAATTCTCTGGATCCTCACTTGAAAAATGACATGACGCAAACATCCTGGGCCCTCATTCTCTACCACTGGATTTCCCGGTTGTACGTGGCAAGGAGTAGGGTTGCCTGTCCAACCTCGTCTTTTTTCTCCGAGTCCTCTGGTTTTCCTACACTGCTAAAGACCTGTATGCGCAAGCGAATTATTAAAAATAAAATTGAACCATATGTTAGTCCTGAAATGACCTAGTTTGTGTCGAGTGGACGTTAAACCCCATTTCCCTCTCTCTGTGTCTCTACCAATGACATGTACAGGGAAGGCCTACAGTATCAAATCATTAGAGAATTTGGAAAAATAGTAAACAAAAAATTATGTGAATTTTACAACAGACATCATCCCCTCACAACATGTGCTTATAAACCTCACCATTTATACCAGAACTATTTCAGTATTTCTGACTGGCTCACCGAAATGAAGTGGCATCAAATTGGGATTGAGCATGGATGGGTTAAGATTTTTGACAGCGTAAATGAAAACCAAGGCGGCTCTGATAATTTCAGTACACATGTTTCCCTTACAATACAACCTTGACCTTACAATACAATGCAACCATGACCATACAATACAACCTTGGCCTTGACCTTACAATACAATACAACCATGACCTTACAATACAACCTTGACCATACCAAACTAAAATAACTGAAACTGTTCTTGCACTGCAGAACCAGATTCAGACTTCATCTTTACCAGGGCTCATTATAAATGGGGTTTATTTGACAAAAAAAACACAAAGAACCCAATGGAGCAACACTATGGAGAACATATCATTGATCATGGTCAACGCCCACAAAACTATTGAAACAAAGACAGTAGACAATACACTTAAAAAAAAACAAATAAACACAGTCAACGAACTATGTGTACATCTTCACTGCAAGTCAGACAAAGACCGGCAAATATGCCTGAAATGAAAGCCGTGATTTTTATCTCTGCAGAAATTAGTTGTCAGATTTTTTAAACAAATTCAGGAATAGTTATCATTGTAGTCCCCCCTCCCCTCACCTGTCCTTGATACTGGTAGCTGAATTGGACAGCATGAGATCCCCAAATTTAACTTTGCTCTGTCATTAAAAAAAAAAGTTTAAAAGCAATCAAGCCAAACTAACTGGAAAACCATCTTGACCAGAAGGATGGATAATCAAACCACCGTTTTATGGACAGTGGCCTAAAAAGTGTTCTTTTCAGTTGCTTACTGTTGTGACTATTTGAATGAAAAGCTTGTGGAAAATTTGTATGGTAATCATTCGTATCAGAACAATGATTTTTAACAAATAATAAATAAAAGTTTATTTTGTATTCGTTTACAGTTGCGGGACACCCTCCCAGTGTGCAGAGATTTTAAGGCAGGTCAGTGTGATCGGCCTCAGTGCAAGTATATTCATCTCCAAGAGGGTAAGTATTTATTTCTAGTTTTAGACTATCTCTTGTAGGGGGGTTGGATGGGTTTCTCTGGGTCCTTCGGAATTATTGAAATAAAATTAAGCCATATGTTAGTCCCAAAATGACCTGGTTTGTGTCAAGTGGACATTAACCCCTCTCTCTCTCTCTTTCTCTTGACACTATTCCTATGTATGGCCATTATATATCCAAATACAAGAATATTGATGCTCATTCTTGTTTCAACATAGAAATTTACAAGATGGCTGGATAGTTGAATTCCTTGCTTCAAAAACCTTGTGAACATACTGAAGAGTAAGATCTTGATTTGAGGAAACTAGCAAAATGTTTTGTTCTTAGCTACAACAGGTGAAGGATGCATACATTGTATTGGTTATTAAATATACATTATTCAAGAGCTAAATCTGCCTATTGCAAGTCTTTCTTTAGGTTTTAAATGTTATATAAACTATTAATTAGACTTTTGTTAACATGACAAGACCATAATCAACTCTCGATGCCATCTGATGTTTGAAATTTTAACTAGATTAGAACGGTTTGGCCATTTAATGATTTAATTTAAAAATGGAGAATGGATAATAAACAATCAATGCACACATCTTGTCAGAACTACAAACATTGATAGAATAAGTAATTTCAATGAAATTTGCAATATATTCATTTTGCATTATCTATGTTTGAACTGTTATAGCAGGAACGGCCAGCTCTTTATCTAAATGATACATAAGGCATCTTTAACTCCTTTGTTCTGAGGGGTTGGATTGCCGAATGGTTAGGCAATGCGCGCTGCATCATAAGGTCTGTCATTGAGTCAACTGGCATGGTTTTGATTCCCCGGATGTACGTGACAAGGAGTAGGGTCACCTGTCCAACCTCGTGGGATTCCTCTGGGTCGTCAAGCGGAGTTACCCCCCCCCTCTCTCTCTCTCTCTCTCTTATTGGGAGCTGTATTGCTTGGTAAATATGTAAAACATTTAATTTCAGAAAATGTTGAAGTAACGGATGGAAAAGTTGTAGTCTGCCGTGACTCAGTCAGAGGAAAATGTCAGCGTCCTCTGTGCAAGTATTACCACATCCCGGTCATACTGCCACCATCAGTTTAAACAAGGGAAGTTACTCTCAATAACTAATTGTCAACATACAAGAATCTGTTGAACTCCTTACCGAAACAACATCTCAATGTATGGTACGAACGTTGCCATCGATCTATATTGTATCTAACTGGTAACAATATATTTTTTATAAGTAAGGAAATGACAAATAACGAGAAAGCAATGGTCAATTTATAATGAGAATAATTTTTAATAATATTTATTATTCACCATACACAAACTGTGATGAAAGAAATATTTTTACAAATTATGTTTATACATACAAATTTTCATATCACACAGCACAAAACCAAAGCTTGGATTTAAAATCTAGTTAATAGTAACCGCTTGTGACAAAAGTTTGCTTGCCTTTTTTCCATTGACTGAATCATGCCTTGTAAAGGAGATGCTTATGGCTACATTAATGGATGGATTTTGTTTACTTTAATTGTTTGTCCGTTGGTATAATGCAAAAATACCAAACGGTAGATTTTATGGTGCATATTAAGGTCGTTTATAAAATGCCTTAGTCTTATTCAATCATGTCTGCCAAAAATCTCAATGATTTATTAACAAGCCTGGAAATAAGTAACCTGTCAGACAGGTTTGTCCGGCACAAATTTAGATACCTGTGTCAGACAGGTTGTCCGGCACAAATTTTGACACCTGTCTTTTTGTCTGGCACAGGTATTTTTTTCTATTTATGTCTGGTACCAGTTGATCAGTGCCCGACAGTTTGTCCGGTAACAACAACTACAATCATTTTTCCAGGCCTTGTTACTCAATAATTAAACTTCTAAACAAAATCCATATCATTTTGATCGAGACCTAACCCTTGCTTCAATGTATTTTCTCTTAATTGTAATCATACATATAATTTTTTTATGAATGAAAACAAAAATTACATAACATGAAGAGGTTGGGATAATTTTTCTTATTAGAAATAATTATCCATTTAATGAAAGTTCCATTTATAAGAGTTGTTTAACAATGTATCAAATGGTGCCATATTGTTTGATGATGATGCACCGTTTTCTTTCGAGAGAAAAAAGAAAGTGATTTTTAATTTTTTTTTCCATGTGCCATATATACACGGATTACATGTGTATAACTTATGATTGTTAAATTGTATAGAAATTTACCGATACATTTCCCTTGGTTTATGATTACTGTTTATTACTTTTGTATGTTATTATAATTATTATTAATATATTATTGTTTATGACGAATAGTGCTATTCAGAGGTCTACAGCAATTTTTTAATAGAAATTTTTATGCTCTTACAAAAAATTATATACTTTTTTTTTTGTTATCTATTTATTGGCATTGTGTTGGTGCTTCAAGCCAAAATTGTTAATAAATGTTTAGTGTTAGGAATTGATTGTTCATGATCGACAAAAAAAAAATGAAAGTAAACCAATGTTTTTCATACTATAGTTATCAGTGATGTTACTGTGTATTGCCAAGGGAAATGTACTGTTTATCTTCAACCATATTGAATGATTTCCACGATTTCAAATCACGTGTCTGAAATTGAAGTATAACGTTAAATAATGAACAATTTGAAAATATTCAAATTAAAAAGTGAACAATAAATTCAAGTGTCTGAAATTGACGTATGAAGTTAAATAACGAGCAATTTGAAAATATTCAAATAAAAACAGAGCCACACTAATGAGTAACAGTATCTGGTAGTCTAAAAAGGGAGTAAGCATATTCTGCCGTCACTGACAAAATTAATCTCCCAAGCGAATTTCTCAAATGAATTTGGTTAAGTAAGAGTTCGGAGATTAAAAGACTAAGCAAATTCTGCTTTTCACTGACAAGTTAATCTCTCGGAGATTTAGGATGACCGCCTGTTCAGTAGCAGACGGAAGGTAGACGCCGATTGAAATCATGGAAATAATTTGATTGGTGTATATAGTACCAGTTATATAATAATTGGTGTTGATGTTAATATTACACGTTAGTTTTCTTAACCTTTAAATGAGTGTCTGATTTGATGGTTTTTATTTTTCTTAGTTACATGTAAACAAACGGTGGTTGATATTTCTAGAATCTAGTTATTAAATATGTATGTATTCATTTTTGTTGATAATTAAACCTGACTGGTACTTTGTCTTATATATTAGTATGCAGTATGTCAATTAATAGAAAAATGCATTTATTAAATACCCCAAGCCCCCTTTTTTCGTGTTAACGATATAATAATTAACATATGGTTTGTGAAACAATAAATGATATATTAATTTTAAAAAAACCAAAATCATCGTAAGAAGCTTTAAATTTTAAACTGGATACTGATTGGTCAGAGATTTCTAAACGGCAATCAATAATTAACCAGCAAATTTCATACATTAACAAAACCACTTTCAACCATTTTTAAGTCTCGTAACATGTCTCAAAATATATATATATATATAAACTGTGTTCAATATTTGTATATTAAAAGAAACTTTTTCTTTCTTATTTCTTTTTTTTTCTTACATTGTTATGTTGGGCGCGCGCATTTGATACCATTTGACTAATCATATTCCAGTGAAATATATTAAATATAAATATTTCATAACCATTGTACACCTGTACCTGTACTTAACATTATTATACTTGTATATAATTTAAAAATATCAAAAACATATTATTTACATATTAGTTAGACTTTGACAGCATATCAAATATTCCCCATACCTGTATATAAGGTTAAAGTATCGCGAATCCCCCAAATTTTTTTTTAGTTTTTTATTTAGATGTGCTAAAAACTTATGTCACTGCTGGAAATTTTTTTGTCGAAAATGATTACTTTATTTTTAACATTTTTTAATCTTTAAAAATGTTAATACCTATTCTCGAAAGTGAGATTTCAGTTTTTTAAAAATATACTCCTAAGCAAAAGAATTATGAAAACTAATGAATTTAAATGAATTTAAAAAATTCGATATTTTATGGAATAAGTGTACTAAAATTTTTATTGATATTTAATTATTTAAATTAAGAATTTTATTAATTAAACAATTTTATCTGTTAAATGTTACAATGTTAAATGAAGGGTGTTTTTTTAAAAATCCTTTTTCAATTTTAAAAAAATGTACTAGGTATAAGTTAATATTTTTTACCATCTTTGATATATTTGCCATGGCCATAAAAAACAATCATTGTGAAATAACTATTGATTATTTTTATTACTATGTACAATCCATTTTGGGATAGTGTGGATACACAATGTATGATAATTTTCATTGATTTATCGATTATGTATCTGGGAATTTCATTTCTTTTCTTTTTTACTGTCATTTTCTTTTTCAAATTGATGACATAAAAGCATTAATTGACAATGTGATACAGTTTTAAATATTTTTTTTTCTACCCCTGCTGTTCAATATTTGGCTTGGTTTTTAACCTTTTTTTTAAAAAAATATATTTATTTTTTAACCATTTCCCCCAAAAGGATTGTATGTATCTGTGGGTGTATATATATATTTATTTTAGATAAGTAAATATATATATATATATACATTACTATCGTGTCTAGGTCATTATATATGTGTATATGTGATTTAATACTTGGTACTGTCAAGTATATCAGAAAAATATATGTTTATTAATTGTAATCCCATAAAATTCATGTTATATCATCTCTGCCCATTTTATCATGTTATCATCCGTATGACGTAAACAATATCTATTTCGAAATTCAAAGACTTCGACATCAAATGTTTGTACAACAATTTCTTCTTAAAATGTGATATCTGAATTTTTTTTTTTTAATCTGACCTTATTTCAAAGTTTTGAGATGAAGTATGTATAATCATTTCTTTGAGCAAATATACCAACTGTATATCATTATGAAATAGTGATGTCTACTCATTATATAATAATGAAGGTGATGATTATAGGTCACAATTACAAATTATACAGAAATCTACTCAAATCTTTGAAAAAACATTTATGTTTCGTTAAGATTCCTGCCAAAAAATCGACAATGTAGCTCTTTCAATTTTCAAATAGATAATGTTTCGAATACCCCAAAACAGTGATTGTTTATGTATGTAGTTTGCGAATGGTCCTCAAAGGACATGCTTAATTCATAGCCCCACTTTTCAAATTGCGGTCCCAGAATTATAAAACTGAAATTGGTGCTTTAAGAAAACTCTGTAAGGGTTGAAAACTATTAGATTGTAATTGTACATCTTACATCATTGATTTGGAATTGTATGGTCTGTTAGATAAAGTAATAATAATTACTCGATTAAATCAGTTGCAGACATGAATAACCTATTATAAAAAGTTATTACTATTTCCGATATTTGCTGGATTTAAGATCTACGAAATATTTCATCGTCGGTGGGGGGATTAGATCAGATATTGCAGTGAGTGGTTTAAAGATTTTCAAATATGTAATTATTTCTCTTATCTAACAGACGGAGGCTTGGACAAGCATTTTGTACTATAAATCGTAGCAACTATTAGATCGGGCAGGGTGTTTATTTGTATTGTGGTATGTTAAAATCTCCATTGTTTGAATTAATTGAACTTAATTGGTGGTTATAGGTGTTAAAACACACAATCCGCCATTGTTGAATGATTGTTATATATACAATGAATTTGTTTATTTTTTGACGCCAGTCACCTTTTGAACGAACATATAATGTTCCCTTCAAGATATATTTGTCGGCCAGGCCTTTTCCAGACACGTACGTCACCAATGCTTTAAATGCTTTGTGTGAGTTAGTTTGCCACAAGAAACTGTCTAACAGTTCGCTAGTTCATTTTGAATGATTATATGCTCTGCTGCATTATTCTAACTTTTTTTTTTCTCGAGAGTGTAAGAAGGTCGTTCACGATGTAAGCTGTGAGAGGATTGGTTGGCAACAAATGGACGAACTTGGCGTGAGTCTTGCCAACCAATCAATGAATTTTTTATTTATAAAAATAAAAGTACACGAAATGAAAAGGAGTTCATACCACATGTATATTACCAGTTAGCATGTTATTGTCAAGTAACAAAAGTGCCTGTCGATGGAACTATGCCGAATTGACTTGAATATTTTTCTATAGTTGTGAGTGTGTGTGAGGAAAAGAACGAGGGACCTTCTTACATTACCGAGAATATCTTGAAAGATCTTTAGAATACACACTGCTAGTCTGTGTGCATGATACCTTTTAAAAATAACATCACCGATAGGATCATGGCAGTGTCTCGAAAAAAATCTTTTTGGACACTAGCAGTTAATGCTAAGATTAACCCTGACTATGTGATTTGATAGTAGATTTAAAAAGGCTTGGCTTGGCTACTATGAGTAGTAGTCGCAATATACTGGACTTATTATTATTACATTATTATTATTACCGCTTTATATCATGTGTCTGTCTGCGTAGCTCTATTTCGTGTCAAACACCAGAAGTAATTGAAATAAATACTAAAATTATCATTATATTCTGAAATCTTGTAGTGTGTGTTTTATTGCTTTTTTGCATGCTTTAAATCCCCCCCGCCCCCTGTTCCCCCCAACAATACAATTCTTTTTTTAAAACTCGCTTTTCAGGGTTTATCCAAGGCATTGCCCCCCCATGCCTTCATAATAATATATGGCCATGCTACAGATCCATGTCAGTTGAAACATGAACATTATATAGAATCTTTATCTTGAACTGTCTCAGATTAACATCGTCAGAGGAGCTTAAAGCAATAACACTTTGTCTACTATACTAGTGCAGTAATTTATAGCCTAATATTATTAACTCTACACTAATAGATTAAGAAGCTAGCTAAGAAAGGTCCGATTAGAGTCTCCCTCAAAGCCTCTTGTCTCTTCATGTGGAGTCACTTTCAGATGATCAAATGGTTAAATGCTATGAAGGAGTGTACTTTGGAGAAGCATTTTTGATTTGCTGCTTGCGACATATTGTTCTAAAATACCACATCTGCTATCACAAGCGGGGAATCTTTTCAAACCAAGGCATGTTTCAGAATGTTTTTTAAATTCCTGGCAGTTGTAAATGTTTCCAATGAAAACTGTTGGGCCAGACACTTTTAAACAAGAATGTTTAATAATATGATCACAGTGATTCTCGAACTGTTGGTTAAGTCAGTGAAACACTGTTATTTTCCTGGTTTGCAGTCCCTAAATATAGAAGTCATTGTGAAACATTGCCTAATAGTAGTTTCTTGTAGATATGCTATTTAAATCTCCCTCTCCTATTACGCACTACATATTGCATTTTAAGTATGAAAATGGATATTTCAGTCTAATGCCTTCTTTGATTTGTAACTACTGCATATGCTTTGCAAGCTTGATGACTTTTTATGACCAAATTTAAGATATCTGCTTACATTTTAAATGAAATAGTAAACTGGGTTCATTTTTTTAAAACATTTTTATACTTGTTTAATGGTCGGAGGGACCCTAAACTGTTAGAACCTGTACAAAAGACTAATATTTTTATTTGTCCAAATATCAAACTGTCTCATTTTTGGTGCTAAAGCGTAAATATATCTACAATAAGTTGTTTTTATATATATATCATGTGTATTTGAGATAACAGGTTTGCTTTATTAATTAACTGATCCCCTGGAATTTCATTTTGGAGCTATGTTCTGAAGAAATCTGAAAAAGACCCAGGTTACAAATTATTTGGCTTTTAATGTTAACCGGAAGCTTTAGCTGTACCTCTTGCTAAGAACTTTGTTTCAACTTTTTATTCTTGTGTTTAAAATGATCCAAGTGCAATACTTAATTCCAAAATTTGAATTTATAAATTAGTTAATTATATACCAATGTTTTGTTTTATACTATTGTTTCCTATTTTTTTTTTTATATATTTTTTTCTTTTAACTTCTCGAACCAAAAAAAAACCCAACAAAGAAATCTCAGTAGTTATAGGTGTATAACCTGAGTTCTGGTTGTGTTCACAAAAATTGATTAAGCTTGCAAAGTATTCAATCTGAAGCCACAACTCTTTAAATGATCCTGCTGTTTTAGGACAACGTTTTCCCTATTTAATTAGCTGTAGTAGTTCTTCTATTAAATAGAAGTTTTAAAATGTATACAAGCAAACAGAAGTTGCCAGACCAAATTCATAACTTGGTCTCAATTTATTATATTATTATCATATTCTATCTTGAAAAAACGAGATGCTCAAAGCAACTGTTATAAGATGGAAGAAATGAATTCGGTGCTTTAATAAGGAGATAAGTTTATCTCCAGTGATCTCCAATACAATACTATACTGTATATAAACAATCTGATTTAAACACAGACCCTATTTCGTTTCGTTTTTTATTGTTCAAAATTTCGTTTTACTTGTCTTCACTACTCTAGGATCTGGCAGAATTGTTATATTACCTGCGTTCTGGTTGAAATGAGGGATTAGCCTATGAAACGGCGAGTTCTTGGTGTACGATGCACGGAACTGTAGGTAAACCACTAGAAACGTCAACACTGATTGATTAATCAATGTCTGACGTTATAGGGTCAAAAGCCGCTTGTACAATCCCTGACGCGACCTTCCAGTTCAACCGGTCAGATCTTCATGTACAGTAGGCCATCGAAAGTATAAAAATAACGAAACGAAATAAAGATCTTTATTTTAATCAAATTGGTATATAAAGTATGTAACCTGTCCTATACAATCAACAATATTAGTTTAGTTAAAGAAACAGTGGCATGATGGCATACTCTAAAACCCATTGTTCAGTTTAAAGTGAACAAAACCCACCAAATTTAAACCAGAATATTAGGAAATCCAGTTGAAATGATTAGTTTGCGAGCATCTCATGTTTATATATAATTATTAGTACATGTAGTTATTGAAAAATTCTATGTCATCTACAAAAAAAATGAAGAGCCCTAGGGAAGAACGATCTAAGTCACTTTTTCAATGAACCCCAGTTAATGGCGCCATCTGGTCGCAAATTGTATAAGCTTTCTGTGGACAATCAATTTCAGGTAAAAACCATCGGAGTCACATCGAACCAAGGCCCTTCTGAAATGGCCTCCCAGACAAATATGTCCATCGTACCCTTTATTTGATCTTAATTTGGCTGAAAAGTGGAAGTCAGTTGTTGTACTGGTAATTATGATTCGTATTAAACGTCATTTTGAAGTTTAATTAAACCCACTCGTTGTTCTGTTCGCGTCAAGCATTCTCGTCCGAAAGTCTGTTTTGCCTTTGATGCGAAAAGACAAAAATGTGACTTAGATCGTTCTTCCCCTGGGCTCTTCAAATACTTCTTTGATTCAGAACCTGACAAGGTCTCTAGAACACAACGAAGCTGTGATATCCGACCCCCCCCCCCCCCCACACTTGTTCTTTAACTAAATTATTATATAGTCAACATCCCTCCATGCCTGTTCTTTCCCAATTTTTTCCCAATCATAAACCACACCAAGGAAGTCTTCTTAGACCTGCCTTATCATTTTTGTTCTTTGTGAAAGAATTTCAAAATACATCAGTGTGATTTATTTTATGTCAAAGAAGACGCAATTGTTTTCATTTTGTTATTATTTTGTAAATAGTTATATTTTTTTCGTTTTAAATAAATAATTCTTTTCTTCGACCAATGTCGAACCTGTAGTAAATAAATATTTTTTGAAGCCAACAAGACTGGAAGCTTATATGTAAGGATTATTCGTCGCTAGCAGATTCAGAAACATATTGGTTATTGGGACTGAAAGTCGGAAAAACCTCCGTATAGCTGTGGGAAAGTTTACTGAATTGAAACCAAGAATATGGCTAACTATTCACATTAGTAAAGCAGACGATCCTATAAGAGAAAAATACGACATCTGAATAAATTGCCAGTTAGTCTGAGATACCTTTGTTAGGACATGTCTAGAACACGATTGCCTGGGTAATTACCACAATTGGTCAGACGTTATTGCCTACCGATTAAACGGCTGACATTTTAAAGATGGGTATAAAATACACAAATCTTGACGAAGATGACATTTTGTATTTGACACCTAGCGTTTTTACAAGTTGAATTGATGCAAAATGTCACGATGTCTGCTTGATAGTCCACCATTTTGACCCAGGACTTGAATGGGTATTGGTAAATTTCCACAAACATCAAACATGAATATTAACAAACCACCTACATAACCTACACCCCTCACCCTGCTAGATCATATTCTATAATTAAAAATACAATTTAAAATATATAATTAAGTAATCTAATGCAATATTCAATGGAGGCATCCGGCCCAAACGTTTTTTTTCTTACATAAAAGTGGGGTAATTCCATTAAATTTCTTCTGTATCATCTGCTTAATTAATTTCTACAATTTTTAAAATTATACCAAACAATACAAATTCTAAAATTATCCAAATTATCTCATAAATCCGACATCTGAGTTGTTCGGATTTTGGCATGGATTAAGGAAGGGGGTATTAGCTATAGATAAGATAAGATGTTTATTGCATCAAAACGTCCATTATGAACAGCATACATACTACACTTAGACATAGTCATATACATTCAATAATACATATTACATAGACAACTCAATACATTCATACAAACAGTATACTACATGTATATCAGAGGGGTTTCAGTTAGATGTAGTTGTCACAAAATTTGATTTAGATATCTTATCAAAAGCCAAAAACACATATAAAGCCACTGCCTTTGGTGGGCTAAAGAGATTTATAAAATTGTAGGAAATCTCAAATTTTTACTGAGAGAGCTGGGTATAAATGGGCTTGACGTATTTCTTCGGTTTTATTATGCGATCCTGAGACAAGTATTTCATCCTTACCAACTAACATTACAAACTTACTGCCTTTAAATTTTAATCAGCTTTTAAAATGAGTATCTGACATCTCTAATTCCTTACATGACATTGGAATATGTCCCAAATATTTCGCGAATTTGTACACAACTTATATTTTAAGATACTGTATTACGGAAGCTCCAATGTACTGAGACACGATTTTTATTAATACCCTCATAACATATTGATCAGAAATGTCTGACTCCCTTTGTACCCAAACTATACATTTATATATACAGTATTAAAGGGCCAATCCCTATAATATTTTGGAGAATAAAACTGCTTAAGTTTGTGTTAAAACCACGTAAAATCCTCTACCTTAGGTCCGATCAACTAACTTAATATATGTGATAGGTTTTCAAACAACTCAAACCTGTCAGTCTTCATCTGGAAATGGAGACCAGTGTACGTCCCAAGCTGTATTATGCGGTGTCTGGATAAAACCAGACTTTTATTTTATAAAAATAATGTGTAGGTGAAATTTACCTTTCGTTATCAAGTACAGCACATGGGTCATTCATTGTATAGACCTCTATAGGAACGGGAATCGATTATCAGGTCACTCACGAAAAAATTCCCGAAATCTTAAAAGGGTTACGTGTCCGGATAAGCAGTTTTAACGTTCACGTCCAAACGACTCAATATTTTGAGCTGAAATTTTGAGACAGGGTAAATACACCATTCCTCTATATTTTGGCGCTTAAATTTCATATGTACTCGGATTTTTATTTTTGAGACTATGTTCAAATCGGGATAGTCCCTTTGAACGTTCAAAAGCTGTAACACAATCCATTCCGACTTGCATTTTGACCCTCCCTTGGCCACAGTAACCATTAAAAAGAGTCGAGAAAGTGGAAGACATTTCTAATTCACAAAATACATACATATAAAGGGTCGGTTGGAAGGCGACTCATGGACCGATGATTTGGAATGGAAGAACTAATTGGGGTTCTGTTAACTTACAACCCTATGACGGTAAATATCTTTGATCTTTGCTTTGGGGTATATTCTATGCCCGGAATAACTTGTGGTCTGAAAGTCGAGCGGCTTTGGATATATACAGGGGAATTTGGGGTTATTCTTATGAAAGTTTTTCTTTAAACCTGTAATGGGTTATTCTTCCAAGGTAGGTTTTTTTTCAATACAAAAACATGATATATAAGGTTTTTCTTACGGAAATTCTGGGATATTCTCATTTTGCGTACATTTAAACAAAGACGGTTTATAAGCAAGATAAAGTCGTCGATTTCGGTTATGCAGTTCGGACACAAAATAAAAAGTCAAATAAAAGATTAACCCCCATGCGAATTTTCACACCAAGGTCGACTACGCCAAGAACAACCCCATGGTTTCCACCCCGATGAGCTTAGCCCAGTTGCGTCCATGAACGAATTATTCCGGTCACAAACTAACTGTTCACCAGAAGAGAACTCGAGTCGGAAAAAGCTAAATGCTAAAAACCATTGGACATTTCGTCATAGGTCACGAGATGTACATAGGGTTAGGGCACGTGATTGTTGACAAGATTGTAGGTTGGGGTTAGCCCTAACCCCAAGACGTGCAGAAATTAGGGGGTTATAAAAGAGGGTGTTGAATGAGCGAGACTGGTCAGAGCTCACCCAGATATTCCAAGCAGCGACTATTTATTGAGAACAAGTCAAAGTCTTTCCAGCTTAACAATAAAGTTGTAAGAACTATTTAACCTGTAGACGTAGTGTTATATATTACGATCACGAAGAAAACAAACACAAGTAAGTACGGTGGCTGATAAGGGACATGAAAAATAATATAATTTGTTTTTTATAATTTTCACCCAAGTCAATTTTAATTTTCATCCAAGTCAATTTTAATATAATTTGATTTTTATAATTTTCACCCAAGAATTTCCACTCAGCGCGTGACGTCATCTCAATTAGCCTCGTTTCCATTGTAATGTATTATGTTTTATCTTATATGGTTCTCATACTGTAATAAGCAGATTGTAATGTATTATGTTTTACCTTATATCAAAAAGATATTTTTATACGCCCACATTTTCATATGGACGTATATTGTCGTCACCCCTGTCCGTCCGGACGTCCATCCATAATTTGTTTGTGGACACTATACAGGTCACAATTTTTATCCGATTTTGACGAGACTTGAAATATAGGTTTATCCCCAAAAGGTTCCTTTCGATATTGGCATGTATCGGATTGAAACTTTATGAATTATGGCCCTGATTGTACGAAAAGTCACTTTTTTTAGCGTGTGGACACTCTAGAGGTCACAATTATCATCTGGTTTCTTGCGATATTCGCGCTTATCGGATCTTAACTTTCTGAATTACGACCCTTGATTGTACGAAAAATCTCGTCACAATTTGTATCCGATTTTAAAAAAAAACGTTTGAATATATCACCGTTACGCCCCAATGATGATTAAGTTCGAATTTTCTGAAAATCTGATCGAAACTGCCGGACAAAATGGTCGCCCCTCGTACGCAAACTTTGAGAGAGAGAGAGAGAGAGAGAGGGAGAGAGAGAGAGAGGGGGAGAGAGAGAGTGAGAGTGAGAGAGAGAGAGTTTAACGTTCACTCGACACAAACTAGGTCATTAGTATTTTGGAAACGAGGCTAATTGAGATGACGTCACGCGCTGGGTGGAAATTCTTGGGTGAAAATTATAAAAATCAAATTATATTAAAATTGACTTGGGTGAAAATTATAAAAAACAAATTATATTAAAATTGACTTGGGTGAAAATTAAAATTGACTTGGGTGAAAATTATAAAAAACAAATTATATTAAAATTGACTTGAGTGAAAATTACAAAAAACAAATTATATTAAAATTGACTTGGGTGAAAATTAAAATTGACTTGGGTGAAAATTATAAAAAACAAATTATATTAAAATTGACTTGGGTGAATATTAAAAAACCCAAATTATATTATTTTTCATGTCCCTTATCAGCCACCGTAAGGAAGTCCGATTGTACACTACTACAGATATCGATGCAATCAAACGCTATGCTGATGCATGCACATAAATCTGTAACTTCTGAGCTACAAAAGTATTCTAATTGCAAAATGATCAGCTCACAGTAAATTAAAATTAAAGCTTCTAATTAAACGAAGTAATTCTCTAATTAATTTCAAACTGAACTCACCCCCACCCTGTTTATTTATAAAGGGTATTTAGAACAGTAGGGGATATTTAGAAACAATACAAAACTGCGGAAATGCACTGCTGTTTTTATTAGAAGTAACCAGTGTATGTTAAAAAGAGGCCAATTGCCTACACATGAACATATACAGTTAATATGGGCGGCTTATCTGACAGCCCCGTTTGACTCGCAATGAGTTTCACCGTCAAAAGTGAAAATGGACGTTTTTGATTTTTGTGACATGCTCAACCACCCAATCACGATTTGCAGTGCCACGGCCAATTCTTGCAGTGTTGTCGGTTGACTTTGACGTCGACGAACACGTCTCCCGATGAAATTAAACGTAACACACTAAAGCAAAGATACGCTAAACAGTAAATCTTATGCAAGAACCGTTAGGAAAGTAAAGATGGATAGGATAAAACAGCAAGCGGCAGTTTTCATCAACCCTTCTTTGACGTGTCAAATTCGACAATGAACCCCTCCCACGTGTATGGCGCTATTGCGTGTCGCACATGCAGCCCAGTGGTTCTGTTGGGGCAATAAGTTCTTCATCAGTGAACATACTCTCAAAGCATGTCAAGTGTCCATGACTATTTATCATATACAACCTTAATAGGTTGTATATCAATATGCCCT